TTGTATATCATATTTTTCTCTCGATATTCGAAAACCCTTCTTGTAATTAGTACCATTTGGATTTTTGAAAAAGGGTTACATAGCATTTTAACCATCCGTGAAATATTCCCATCCAGACTATGTAGAACTGACAGAATGATGATACAGGCGCCAGAAATATTTTGGCACTGTGAAATATGATATATCATTCCCAACAGAAATGAAATAGTAAAGAAAAATTAAATCAAGAAAAATGACCTAAAAATCGGAATTTGTTTTGTAATTATAAGTTGTATTTTAAATTGATTTAGTACAATTCTATGCAGCAAATTTTTGTTATAGAATTATTTAGTTAGCTCAGAAATAAATGAGAAAATTATTTCATATTTTAATTAAAATCCATAAAATTTTTAATATAAATGGAGACTATTAATATAATTATATTGCACTATTATATGCAATTAACGTACTCTGATAATAACTATTTATTTGCATATTGAAGACATACAAAGAAAGCTATCAATTTATTTTATTAGCTTTATATTTAATTTCAATCGACATTTCATTCATATCTTAATTTCATTTGAATATAGGTTAAAAACAAAAATAGAGGAAAAAGCATGCATTTATAGTGTATAGCGTTTGTAATAAATAAAATCAGGCTATTTATTAATGTCAATACATTATATTAACATTATATAATTGATATTAGATTGTATGTGCGATATTTTTATATATCATATTATATATATTTCATATGCGTTATTTTACTCGTAAGAAATATGTCCTCAGATGGATTTATTCGGCACCTTTTTAAAGTAAACATTTTTAAATGTTTGAGCGATAAGACCGGCACTGTATATTATATAAACGAGTACATATAGTATATTAATATTATTTTTGTCTTGGAAAATATTTAAACAATTGTAAATGATTAATTATTGATTATTCTTTTTTTTTGCTCGAATATTTAATTCAGGTGCGGAAAGTTTCAGCAATTTGTTTTAAAGCATTATGCCATGCACCACTAATTAGTGATATTTATTGTGCCTTATTTCATGTAACAAATTATTGGTATAAGATTGTATGTGTGATGTACTTTTAAATTTATATTAATTTTTATTGTGCTTTATTTCATGTAACCAATTATTGCTGCCGACTCATATATTTGATTACATTTTTAGCCAAATATAATTATATATTTGTTATATGGCCTTTCCTTGGACATTTGATTTTGTTACTCAAGGTTCCAGGTTTAATACCAGCAGTCTGATATCAAGCAGTAGTGATATCGGTTTTTATTTCAAAATGATGAATATATGTTTCAAAGTAAAAATGGAATCAAATTGTTGCATCAAATTAAAAATTCATCGGTTTTATTAGAGAAATTTAAATAAGTATTATAACAACGATTTGTTTGTCTTCTAAGTTCTAATTGCCGTTTTATAAAACGAAACAAATTATATATTTGTTTAGAGAATAGAATTTACACCTAAAAGTTGAAAAATTGTCATTTACAAATCTGAATGGTTGTACTCAAGCAAAACTTTTGTTATGTAAAAATTCTCACGCACCAAATATTTAACCAATTTGAGTGATGAGAATTTAATATGGTATAACTACAAAAAATTAGTACAATTTGTTCTAATCTCCATGCGAAAAAATCATTTTGCATGAAAAATTACAAAAATCATAAATTCATACATCATCTGAATCCTTTTGTGTCGAAAACTTTCTGTCTTTCCGCCCTGACAACTTTCATTCGTCCAATATTTGTTGTGGAAATAGATTCATACATTTATTTGTGTTTATGTTTACATATTGAACAACAAATATATCCTTTCGGGTGTTGCTTCGAAATATGGTCAGACAATGCGAAATGTTATTAGTAAAGACCACCCTGCAAACATTCCCTTTCAAACCCTTTTCAATATTAAAATGAACACCATTCAACGATGCAAAAGTAATTGTAATCTTTAATATTACCTATATATGTACTGCTAAAGATTAAACATTTATACATGTAGGGTGGAGCAGGGCTTAAAGGCCCGCGAGTAATAATGTCCATCACCAATATCTGAGAAACCAGTGAAGTTAAGAATTTTTAAAAAATAATATTTGAAAGTAGGTGGAAACAAATGTATAACCAACCACCACCTTGATTCTTACGACGTTGCTTTTGGGAGAAAAACGGCAAAGTTTGAAAATCCATAATAAAAGTATTTTCTGTCCTTGTAAGTTTTTTTGGTTGTGAAAACTATTGTTTAGTTAGCAAGACCTTAATATAATTTTTAAGAATACGTTATTAATTTGTTCTATAAGATGTATTGTTAATTTTGAATTAGATTCAACAGATTTTTTTATATAACCTTTAGAAAAGCTTTCACCTGGGTGGGGTGAAAAAGACCAACTAAATCTTTACCCAAGCTAAGGTGTAAAAAATGAAAAATAGTATATTAAAATGTAAGTTTAGTTAAATTTTACAAAAGATAAATTAAATAATTGGTTATTCCAACTCTGCAGATGAATATTTTTAACAAAATATTAGATCAAGTTTATTTACCGTGTTATTTGTAAAAATGCACCCAAGATATTTATATTTTGCATTAGTGATATCCCTTTAAAATTAAAAATAACACATTGAACCTATTGTCCCTTGGTCGTCCCATTACAATCCGCCTGTGGGGTAAAAAGTACCAAATGACAAATTTTTGAAAAACAGCAAAAGTAATACATTTCTACAACGATGAATTAGCTGGGAGTTTTACTGAATATATTCTGATAGTTGCTTGGTTTGTTTCTGATAATTGGTTTGATTTGGTTCTGATAATTGGTTTGGTTTTCACAATATAATTGCTCAAAGTCAAATTACTCCAATGTGCCAATACCCTATACTAATATAGTACTAATATAGTTACTACTAAATTTATTTAAATTATAATAAAATAATATTCCTGTTAACATTGCCTTATTCATTGTTTGCACTATGTCATAAATGGTATTTTATACTTGCATTCTGTTACCGTACTGTATATACAGTTGCATTACATTCAAAAAAGTTTTATTAATGTTTTTTTTTGAACAATCAATCCAAAATAAAAAACAAAAAGGGTTTGAAAGTATTATTTTTGCAACATTTCAGATCTAGTTAGGTTTTATCATCCGAGCTTTCTGTCGAAAACTAAGTTTATAGATATATTACTAAACAATATGGCAAGGCCGGTATGTTATAAAATTTATGGAATTCTGAAATTTATTTAAAATAAATATTTAAAAAATATTAGAATTGAGAAGCAAAATTCTTTACATTCGAGTCTCATTTATAAATTCCTATCAATATACTTAAAAAAACTTGTACTATTACTTTTAAATATTAGACTTCACTTCAAATTTAATATATTTAATCACTTTTTGTAGACCTTTTATATTTTTAGACTTTCATTAAGATCATGATCTCTATAGTCATACAAAGTTTCATTAAGTTCTTTACCAAAAACTTTTGATTTGGTGTTATTATCGAGTCCAACATACTCAGGCAAATATT